ATTGAAGATGACAAGTGGATGACCTTATAAAAAGGGAAAATAGTCAAGTGTGGTAATTAGTACATACCTGTAGTCCCAGCTATTCAGGAAGCTGACACATAAGAATGGCTTGAGTCTCAGAGTAAGGGGCCAGCCCAAACAATAAAAATAAGTAAATAACATAGTAAGACCCCATCTCAATAAAATAAGTTAATAATAAAAAGGGAAAATTTTACACAGAGACAGACTCATATACAGGGAATGCCATGTCAAGTACAGGGACAATGCCATCTACAAATCAAGGAGAGAGGCCTGAAAACAAATCCTTCCTTCACAGCCCTTGGAAGGAACAAACCAACCTTAATGTCACACTTGCATCTTTCAGCTATAATTCCTGCTTCACTCACACAAGATCTACTAGCTCTGTGCTTGGTTCCTTTTCTCAGGTTTCTTTACTCAGAGGCAGCTCCTATCAGCTCCTATTAAGAGGACCCATAAGATAGTGAAATGAACACATATTAACTTGTAACCCCCATAGCCATCACCCTCCAGCCCTTATTCACTCAATAAGTTAAAAAATGTTTACTCAATATCCTAATGTCAGACACTTATGCCAGAGTAACATAATATGAATAATGAACATAAAGTTCAGTTAGTGGACGAGTCAAAAAGAAATAATATCATGACAAACTAAAAAAGACTAGTTCTGTCTCAGAAGGTAAAGGAAGGCTTCAGAGAGAAGCTGAACTGGATTTTTAAAGGACTTTACCAGATGGATAAGTAACAATTGTAGGAAGAAGATGGCAAGAACAAGGGAAATGTGGAAAATTTCCACATAAATGTAGCTCATTTAGTGCCTATTGACAAGTTATTGTTTACAATAGGGACTAGGTGAGAGATGATATTGTAAACATTGGAGACCAAATTATTGAAGGGCTGTTAATGTCCCTCTTTAAGTATAAAGGAAAGAAGGCTCCACCCGCCTCCTATCTCCTTCCTCGTTTCTCTCCAATAAAAGGGAATTTTCATTTCTTGAATCATTTCCAGGTACCTTTCCTGAGCCTTCTTTACTCACAGGCAAGGTAAGAATGTGTGAAAGTACCAAAGATGGCTGTGGCTTATGGTCTGGAACTATGCTCCCGTGGGGAGGGGGGACTGGGCCCAAACTCCTCACCTCTTGTAGTCCTGGCCATCTAATTCACCTTCTCACCCCTGTGTGCTGCTTTTCAGGTCTAGATTCTAAGCCTGCTATCATTGGCATTCATATTTCTTCTAACCCAGGCACTGATCATCTCTCTTCTTTTCCCCTCACTCATACACTATATACTCCCTTTCTTTGAGTCTCTGGAACCTCGCTAGTGATTGATGGGCTAGGGAAGAGGCCCTACCTCTGTGCTGCACCTTAGTTATGTGCTCAATTTACTGGAACTTTCTGCATTGTATTACCAGGCACAGCGCTTAGATTATAAAATGCCATTGATCTTTTTTATCTTTTTCTTTTGTGTGTGTGTATGTATGCGTGTGTGTATGATTTGTTTGTTGTGTGTGTGTGTGTGTGTGTGTGTGTGTGTCTGTCTGTCTGTCTGTCTGTCTTCTTCAGGAACCTTGGCAGGGCCAAGGCAAAATTCAGGCATCCTTGAGTCAAAAATCTTATGAGTATACTGCCAGCCTTTGTATATTTGAACATCACTCCCTGTATACGAATATACGAATGGAGTAAGAAATATAAAACAGAGAAATGATGACATCAGATCTGTATGCTTCCCAGAGGTCAACCAGAGTCATCTTTACCCCTCAAGTCTAGCTAATAGATTAAACTTCCCTAATTTGTCTGAGAAAGTACAATGAATGCCTTTTCAGGGACTTCTGTGAACTTATCGGAACTTATGCTTCATGACTG